ATCTTGGTCAGGTTGAGTTTTTTAGCGGTGCTTTAACAGGTTTCTTGTAGGGTAAGGGGGCTGAGTGATGGTAGCATTGGGTTGGGGTTTGCATTAGAGGTGCTGGGTAACTCAGGGTGGTTGTGCGCACTGTCCCTCGTTTGACAGAGTTCCCTTGTGTTCATCTCTTTCTTTTGTCAATCCGTGTTCATTACCACTACAGATTCCAAGCGAAGTGGATTCCATTTTTTTCGTATTCCAGGTCTCTCCGCCTCCCTCATTCTTTTTCTCTCTCTCTCTCTCTCTCTTTGCTCTCCACCGGTCTTTCCCTCTCTCTCTTTTCGCTCTTTGCTTGTATTAGCTCCAAGGGTGCAGCGTGTGGTACCGGGCCATTATCTGGGGAGAGATTCGCCAGCCTGCTCGTAAAGTTAGCCCAACCAAAAATCTACAGCCTGAGAGAAGGGGAACGGCCTGTGCCAGGGCATCGAGGAATGAAGTGGAACTTTTCTGGTGGTCCTTTGGCTCTGTGATTGTGCGTGGTGGCGATTCGAGTCAAATCATCTCCCTTGATCCTGTGCGCATGAGGGCGGAGAGGGGGGTTGGAGTGAGTGGACCCCTCTATCAGGACAATGTGCATTTCCCAAACAATTTAGAGTATTCATGAGGTTACGCAAATGTGGAGGCAGCAAAATTACCGTAATCAATTGAAGCGGCGAGCATGCGTCCGTCGACAGCTCTGATTACCCGGAGATCAGCCTGATGTGAATGTCACAAGGAGAGGAGCTGTTAAATTGCTGTTGAATTTGGGTGAGAAGTCTATGATCATTGGGCAAGTGAGTCTGCACAGAGATAATAGGGCAGATCAGTGGACCAGGAAAGTGCTGGTGGCACATTAGCTATCTGACTTCGATTCAAAGCTGCTGTTTTACGGAAAGACCAAACCTGTATTACCCAGAATAAGCCGTGTGTCCATACTCGAATAGTTATTTCTTCCCAACAAGGAGAAAAAGAAGGAGAAATCTTTGCAGAGGATAAGAGACTATGGAAGTCCGCTACAGCCAAGACTCGGAGTCCGGAATGTTGTTGAAGAATGGACTAAAAGAGGGGAAAGAGGGAAAGGATTCCCAGGGGAACATTTCAAAAACGTTCCTGAAGGACCAGCAGGAGTCCTTCTCTCCATCCGAACCGGTGGAAAACTGCGAAAAGAGCCGGACGAGCTCAGCAGATCCTGATTACTGCCGGAGGATTCTAGTTCGGGGTAAGTTTAAAAACACTCCTGTGGAGCTTTTTGTACATTTTGTACTCCACAAAAAAAAACCAGGAAATGGACTTAATGGGAACTTTTCATTTTGCTTTTTGTGATAGTTCTTCTGAGTCGCTGGTTTAGTTTAGTTTTGTTTTTTTTCGTCCAGCAGTGAGTGTCTATAGATTTGAGCATGCACAAGTGTACATGGTGCAAATTGATCTATGCTGCATTGAGAACAGGACTAAATTGGTTTTGTATTGAAGAAAAAAATTATGATAGTTATTTTGTCAGCTCTTATGGAGTGTCATAGCTTTATGATCCAATTTCTCCATTGCAAATATTTAGAAAATGCTATTTAGAATAATTTCAAATATGTATTACCATTATGGACAAAAACACTAAAATAAATAGAATAATTATCCAAGCTGGAAAATAATTAGCACTGTACAAAATGATTGTTAATTTTTTATTTCTTTACAGTACAGTTTCTGTGATTGAGGGATCTAAGAAATTTAGTTATTTTTATACATAATGAAAGATGTAACTTTTTTTGCATAGCTGATTATGTTAGTTATCATTAGATGGTCTTATCATCTCTGTTTT